TTTTTGCAGGGCATGTACACTGTTCTGTAAATAAATGTTATCAAATCAAATCTGTCTGTCTGCCTGCCTCTCTCTCTCTCTCTCTCTCTCTCTCTTTCTCTCTCTCTCTCTCTCTTGCTTCTATTTCATATACACAAAACTCTATTAATATGATATACAGTCTTTTGTATCTTCTAAAATATGTCCTAGGTCATTAATAAAAGAAATTAATTTGGTGGACTGAACACGATGCCCAGCTAGCAAAATATCCCAATTTTTTGTATCAATATCAAAATGAACAAACCCTTATTATTATTATTATTATTATTATTATTATTTATTTATTTATTTATTTTTATTTTTTTTTTTTTTTTACTCAAAATAGATTTTGTTAATTGTTCATTGTATCTCTTCCAAAAATAAAAAACTGTTTGATACTCTCTCTTTTTTTGGACACAAAGTATGTAATTATGAATAGATATTTGAACTGTTAAGCTGTGAATAATCATGTGTTAAACTTACGATGACAGCCATAAAGTCTCAAAATCAGTTTTCTGAAATATTAAAATTAAGAATTTATATCAATGGCATTTTGATTTGATAATAATAATAATGATGATAATAATAATAATGATAATAATAATAATAATAATAATAATAATAATAATAATAATAATAATAACAATAAAAAAAAAATAACATCAACAATAATAAGGATGATATTGATGATGATGATGAGAATAGTAAGGATGAGGGTAATGATAATGATGACGATGACAATGATGATGATGATAATGATGAAAATGATAATGATGATGCTGATATTGATTATGAAAATGACAATGATGATGATGATAATGATGATGATGATGATAATGATAATGATGATTATGATGATGATAATGAAATTGACGATGATGATGATGATAATGATAATGATGATTATGATGATGATAATGAAATTGACGATGATGATAATGATAATGATAATGACGATGATGATGATGGTAATGATAATGATGATGATAATGATAATGATAATGCTTATGATGATTATGATGATAATGATAATGAAAATGATGATAATAATGGGTTACAGCCTGATATTCAGTAGTGCTTTACTTTCGAATAATAATTATAATGATGATGAGGATGATGAAAATGCTAATGATAAGGATGAAGATTTTGATAATGATAATGATGATGATAACAACAACAATGGCGATAATTATAATAATAACAATAGTGATAATAATGATAATCATAATAATGTTATTAGTAATGATGATTATAATAATGATAACAGTACTGATAATTATGATAATGATAATAGTAATGATAATACTAGTATTACAATAACAGTATTAATAGCAATAATAATAACAATAACAATAACAACAACAATGATAATCATAATATCAATAATAATGATAACAATAGCAATAGCAATAGCAATGATCGCAAAGGAATTAATAAACGATATCAGGAAAAAAAATATTTCCCTACGATTACGAACGTAATGATATTCCGTCTCCACGTTACTCCATTAACATCAAATAAAATTAACTTATTATTTTTTTTTCAAAGAGGGAAAAATAATCAAAAACTATCGAGCGCTTATATTTAATTTCGAGTTAATTTTTATTACATAGAAAAAAAAATGGAGTGTGTGGCTATTACTTATAACTTCCATGGATTTGAACTTTTTTTTTCCCCAACGTGTGTTCTTCGTGCGGATTTTAAGACATAGGAAATGTCTTATAAAGAAGAGTCCTCTCTCAGTAAGTATATAAGAAAGGTTTTCGTTGATTAGTGACATGAGGATATTTATATATATATATTAAATAAAAGATCGTTAGATGTTAATGTGTGTTTTACATGATCTCGTCACTATCTTCAGGTTTAGGCATTTCAGCGAAGATTTTGGGCTGATTTATTAATGATTTATTGGTATAGACCCATTTTTGGGGGGTTTAATCACATCGGGAGTCCATCTGTGTATTGCTAAATTTGGAATATTTGAATTTTGTTTCTGGGGTTTTGTTTACTAACATGAAAGATCTTTATTATAGAAAACGGACTGGTTGGGAAAGAAAATGGGAAAAAAGGAAAACGGACAATTAAAGAAAACGTGTAAATACGGTTTGGATATTTGAGTGACGAGCTAGATTTATTATACACGGATATATGTACAACATGTCTCTCTCTCTCTCTCTTTCTCTAGAAAGAAAGAGAAATATATACCCCCCTCTCTCTCCTCCCTCTCCCTTTCAACCTCCTCCCCCTCCCCTTCCTTCTCCCTCTCTCTCTCAACTCCCTTCCCCTCCCCTCCCTCTCCCTCCCATTCTTCTCAACCCCCCACCCCAACCCGCTCCCCCCTTCCCTTCCTTCTCCCTCTCCCTCACAACCCCCTCCCCCTCCCTCTCCCTCTTAGTCCCCTCCCCCTCCTCCCTCTTCCCCTTCCCTTCCCTCTCACTCTCCCCTCCCCTCCATTCCCTCTCCCCCTCCCCTCCTTCCCCTC